AACTAAAGGCTATTAAATAGGGATAGTAACACGAAAAGGCAAGCCAAATAAGATATAACAAATGCGTATTTAGCAGGAGAGAACAGTCGGAACCTCTAGTTTTGGAGATGACCCCGTAACTTGATTTGCAGTTATTTGCCGTGTATCTACTCGACAGAGATAGACTGATAATTAGCCTGGGGTCAGAGGAACCAACAGCGTTGATGAAAATTTGAATGTTTGCACACAGCTGATTATATCTTGCTTTAGCCAGAAGCATTTTTGAAATTTTTAATTAGTAACCGGACAGAATACGATGAAGCTACGGCTGATAAAAACAGTTAGATTCACCTTCATGATGTGGTGAACAATGGCATACATTTAAGCGAATTATAAATAACAAATAGGGAAGTTCACTAAGAGTAAAGACTGATTAAAATGCAATAATAGGGACAAAAAACATTGAGTAATAGTAAAGATCAAGTAAAAACAGTTTCCATACATTGGATACAAGGAAATGATATTTGGTGTTCACTGTGGAATCCACGGTCTACGAAGTTTTTTGTTCATTACTAAAGTTGGCATGCGGAGGTTTTTCTATCCATGTGCAGTTTCATTTGTTTTCGCCCCGTTCTGCTTCCTGGACACCTAGTCTTTCAAAATAGTCCATTTTAGAATGATCCACCGTGTGGAACGTAGGAATAAATTAGCACTATCACCTCATGTAGATCGAATTTCTGCAAAGGCTGCACGGATATGTGGTTTTACATCACATAATTTCCTCCTTCCCCAAGTAAAGTTAAAATTGTACCACATGTTTGTTCTTCCTATCGTAGAATACAGCTCTCACCTCCTTGGTCTGATGTAGGCATCTGGCTGCAATAAGATTGAAAATGTTCACATAGTTTTACTCGATGACTGGGTGCGGTATGTTTAATACGGGTAAATGTCATTTGTTGAACATTAAATTGCTACGGGTAAGAAGACTCGAAGCCGGCTTTTGCTTCTGTTCCGCGTTAACCCTAACCCTAATCTTTCACGAATTAGCGCTTTCAATCTAGAAGATCGATCTTTTGCCACTAATACTTCCTTCATGTTCATTTCACCGTCTCTTTTCTCCACATCTAACTGTTCATGTTTTTCGTCTCAAGATATGCTTTCATCTGGAGTAATATATTGCTCAAAATTACGTTGTCGTCTCTATTGGCGGTTTTCAAAGCCAAAATACGTTTACATTTACCTCTAGAGGATATAAGGTTGGTTCCTTCTCAAACACGCATCGTTAGACCTTAAAATTGCTCCTCTTGCTGTTTGAGACAGTTCCCTTTATAATAAATTGGTTTGCAAATATGTTTGTATGATTGTCTGATTGAAAGTTAATAGTGGACTTCATAAGTGAAAGCAAATAGTTACCAACATATATCAAATGCAGAAACGAGGAAACATCGCCTAGAAATAAAAAATAAAGAAGTAACGGGAAAATGATGCAAACAATGGTGCACAGTCTATCCAAAACGCCCGTGGCCCATTTCCAATTGGACTTTATTGCTATACCCGGAGCCTGGATAAATGAGCAGATAGAAGGTGCAGAATTCATGTTAAAGGGTTATAAATTCACCCACGTGGACCAATATACACGACAGTTGGGGGAACTCGCAATCTTTATAGAAAATAACACTGTTTCCGCTACGACGTAGCCCAGCCGAAAAATGGTACATTTTTAGTGAAATGCGTAGTTATTACTTAAATAAAATTGATTTTCACTTGGTCTCATAAAAAGCACGTATCCTTATCAAAATCGACAGTATTCCGAGGGATGCCTACTGACGAGCATTACGTTTTTGTGTGGTCTAATCGTCGAACCCGAAGTATACTTCCTGCTTCGCACTAACTCCAATCCTTTTATTCTTCCCCATTTTCCCACTCCGATGAATCCGTTTTATTTCACGCGTACTTATATCGCGGTTTTTCTGCCGCCTCCTTGTCATAAGTCTAAACTTTCCCGTTTTAATATCCAAATTACCTTTTCTTTCAAACAACCTTCCGTTACAACTCATTTTTTCGTTTCATTATCGATATGTGAATTTAAATTTCGTAAGAGCCTTACATCTAAAGGTATAAAGCCACTGCTGTCCGTTTCCTTCCCGAACGCTCAACGCGTTGACTTTGAAAAGGGCCTTTCTGCAATTTACCGGGATAAATTACAGCAAACAATGCAATATAGCACTTAACTGAGGATTGTTATAGGCGCCCGGTGGTGACAGGGGTTATACATGTTGGGCTATATACTGGAAAGGGTAGGATTATGTCGTGGGGTCGTCTGGGGATAGTGTGGATCGAGCCCCGCAGGCTCACGTACACCTGATTTTCGGGGAGAGAACGGGCGGCGCATGCCAGGGATCAAGTTAGATACCAATTTTTATGGTAAATAAAAAAGTTACGAGGGCAAGTTAGGTCGCGTACTCAAAAACTTGGGAGAAGACACTGAAATGAGCTTTAATATCATCGCTAACCCCCCGCCCGACCAACGTCGAACGCGTATATGGAGGGGGATTGTGCCCATACCTCGGGCGAGGTAACTGAGAGACATTTTCCAGTGGTAGCACCAACACCAACTAGAAAAAAGTTTAAAGAAGCACTAAAGTGGCGAGATTATGTAAATCACTCTACTTAAAATTTGTAAGCAAGCGATAATTCCGGGGTTAGTTCAAACTCCAACTTTTCTTAGTTTGCTGATTATAACAATTATGGAATGCGGTTGCCTTCGAAGAACCGCTCTGCAATAATAAATAAATAAATCATAATAAATCATAATAATCATAAATAAATAAATCTTTAGAGGTTTAAATAAAAGAGAAGACAGGCAAGGTGCAGTTATTTTTATCTACCACACCATTTCTCTTGAATCCTTGCACAAAATGACACCGAACTGTCATTGTTGGCTGAACAACGAGGCATCTGGAAAACGGGGTACATGAACACATACCGGCCTGGCTAAGTAAAAGTGGAACTGGATCAATCCCGAGTTCTATTCTCGCACACCTTGTCGATACGAATCATCGAGTCGATGCTAATAAAGCCTTTTATGTTGTCTATCGGACACCAGCTAAGTTTTCCAAGGGCCTATGCCAACGGGTGCTTGCAACAGCCGAAAGAGTGGCTATACGGTTAGCAAATCCAGTGCTATTTTTTAGATATTACTATTACATACACTCCCACTCCCCTGGTCGACTTTGACGCCGGGTGGTGATCTCATTATAGGAGTTAAGGCTAAGACGGTTAACCCTAACAGCTACAATCTTCGAGGCCCGGTTCCTTAGAAGATGAGAGAAGTCTTGGGAATCCCAGAGTAGAAGGAAGAGTTCATTGTGCACACAGAACGGAGAATAGATGGAAAGAGTGTTGACTCGCGGAGTAGTGCGTCCGTTC